ATCGGCCATTGTCGAATCGACATGAAAACGAAGGATTTCTCACCTGAAAATGGTATGACTGTGCTCGCCTCGACCTCACGAGTTCAATGGTGTCCTTGGTTTCCTCGATCTGTGATGGTTTGGGTGGTTTTGGTGTTTGTCCGTACGTCGAAGGAAGAAGAAGAAGAAAGGGAGAGAGAGAGACACACGGGACAGAGACAGAGGGAGAGGGAGAGTGTGACAGTGTGTGTGTGTGTGTGTGTGGTCCAACACATGCCACACCACACAAAACAACCAAAAACGTGACATAAACGAACTAGGGGCAATAATGTAATTTCACATAATGTAATTTCACACGTGCGTTCTAATAATCCCGGGACGGGATGTCACAGTTTACAAATTTAGTCTTCCTAACATTACTCACAGAGAAAACATCAAGGGATGCTAGTGTAATCAAATAAAAATTGTGAGGTATAGTTAGGGTTAATATTGTCACAAACCTGCCATTTTACGCTATGGAGATGATTTGTGGACTAAAGTTTCAACGCATATCTAGTGAGACAAGGTTATTCTTTTGGTAATTTGATCCAACGGCTAAAATTATTATAAATTTTAAAGTGAGCTCCTATTTGTAACCGTTTGATGAAATTTTAAAAGCTCGGATTTGTGGCCTTGGTGGACTTATTGGAAGGGATTTGTGGCCTTGGTGGACTTATTTCTACGGCTAGATATAAACATAGTTGTGCAACGGAAGAAAAATTGTGTGAAAATCACTTACCTTAAATTTTATAGATGAATTATTTGTCTTGGTATTGAACTCCTAATCAAATTTTTATTGTGGTTTTTGCATAAAGTTTTGAATTTTTGGGATGATTTTGTTTAGTGAGGTAACTGAAGCAGTGGTTCTTGAACTTTAGCTTAATCAAAGCTTTAGTTCCTAAACTAACAATCCGTGTGGTGATGTGAAGCAATGATTCTTTTTGCTAACTATGTTAGAACTTCCATTCAAAATAAAGGGTTTAGAGGGACTGTTAAAATGATTATTGTTCCACATTATAGTAAGTTTAGAAATCAATTTTCTCCTGTTGAGTGCCTTCATCGGTTCATTTAAGAAGTTTTTATTTTTTTATTAAGTGGAAATGATAATAGGAACTTAGAAGGAATATACTCAAGATCTTGTAGGAAAACATCCTGAACGATATTTGGAGAGTCCTCGTCTCAAAATACATATTTTCAACGAGTACCCTTATGATGTCGTTCAGGATGTTAAGGCTACTCCGTTGCAATGACGGGACACATGGGCAAATTCCACCTCCTGCACATGGAGCTGCTCAATACTTCAGAATTAATTGTAGGACCTCTATATCTTCCTAATTAAACGTTTCCTAATTGATTCCAGCATATCCGGTAACTCCCAACATATGAGAAAGACGTTCATGGCACATGTACGCAAGTATTTATCAAATATGACAAAAAATTGACCCATAATTTTAAAAATATCAGTTTTTTATAAATAAAAAAAAAATTTATCATATGTCGCCAAAAAGTCAGTTCAATCGACACATACCTTTTAGTATAAAAGCAATGCTTTGGTTATGAGTCTTCGATTGCAATTGATTTCATTCATATTTGGGTATTTTTACAGAAATAGAATAGTTTGATTTGTTTTGACATACATTTCGTCATACCAGTAAAAAAGTAAAATAAAATATGAAAAATTTCTTTCATCTGTGTTTTATCTCAAACTAAGGTGATATTTGGCTGTTGCAAACCTCTTACAACATTAGTCAGACGTTGAAGTGTCATTGAACTGGTTCAAACCATTATGAGTTTATGGGACTCATGGAGTTACGTAACAAAGGAAATCCTAATCTGGTGTATGACCTCTAGATCGGCTACACACACAAATCCCCCTTGTAATTTTGTATCACCAAGGCCCACTCTCGCAAAAAAAGTGTGGGATGTCGTAAGTCATACGCAAGAATCTCTATCGCTTACAAGGTAAGACTTCTTTCTTTGTCCTAATTGTGTAAAAATTGCATTCTTCCAACTTGAAACCTGCTACTCTTGTTCCTTAAAGACTTAAAAAGTAAAAGTACCCCACCATTTAGACAACCATTTTTCTAATTGTTACATTCTTTTGCTAATTTTAAATGAATGTCTCACTCCATAACTTCAAGACCGTTCTTCAAATCAACGTAACACATTAATCAAGATCTTCTTATATATAAATAGTTGATTTTAAATGAATGTCTCACTCCATAACTTCAAGACTGTTCTTCAAATCAACGTAACACATCAATCAGGATCCTCTTATATATAAATAGTTGATTTTTCAAACTTGTTAAAATTTGATTAGTTCAACTTTCTCATCTTTGGAATTTTCTATGTAAGAATAATCCTCCAGATGCCAAAAACTCTTTTGGTATAGCCAATTGATACAACAGTCTTCATTCCTAACTTATATTGTATGCGTGTTGACCATGGGGTATCCCAGATCCATGAAGTTTCTTGATTCACCAAGCACCCGCGCATGTCCAACTACATCCAAAACTATTGTATTTAGTTTACGATTCATATTGTTTCATCTGACTAGCATTCGAAGTAAAGTTCGGCCGAATAATTAGTTTTGCTTATGAATTAATTGGCTTTGTTAGGCAAGTTTTGGTATACCATACTAAATGCGAAGAGAAAAACTTGGGTGGGGATGACATGCTATGCAGTAAGATAAGTGATACGTATATATAGTTTCCAGGTAAAAAATATAGTGTTACAAAATTCAACCTCACAAAACATGTTACAGTAAAATAGATAAAACCAGTAGACCTTTTCAACAATGGCAGTGCAATGTACAGTCGTTAAGGCCTAAAGTCGTATAAATATGAAGTGAAATCTAACGATTGGTGTCTGAAAATGAGTTACAGAGGAGGAAGAGAAAGATGGTTAATTATAACCACATTATGGTGTATTCAAACGAAACCAAGTGATCGCCCTTCGATGTACAAAGTCATCGAAATGCTTGGAAGAGATGTTGAATGTCTGCAATTGCTTCTCAGGCCTTCTCTGTGCCCACAAGAGGCGTCTGTGACTGTAGGTGATATTAAAGAAAATAAATTGAACCCAATGTGTTCTAACATCGAGCTAACATGTTCATCATCAACTAGGTGAATATCAAATTGTTAAGAAAGTGCAATAATGTTATAATAATTAAATTCTCACTTTAAAGGGATTTAATTAGTAAAAAATTGTCGGCTGTAAATGTTGTTAAAGTTTGGATGTGTGTGTGTACAAAAAACTGAAAGTGAACAGTCACTGAAGAATTTGAGAGAATGATGGATAGTTCTCTCTGCAAAATACATAGAGGGATATATTTCTATTTCTCTCTCTTGCACACGAAATTGTGCACTGCATAACACTTAGACCTGGTTTGGTACTGAGGTGATTCTGAAAAAAGTTGGTATAAAAAAAAGCTGGGAGCTGTTTTTGTGTTTGGTAAACATTCAGCTTCAGCTTTTTTTCACAGTTTTGGGTGAAAAAAAGCCAAAAACAAGAAGCTGCAAAACCCAGCTTTGAAAATCGGCTTTTTTTCACATTTGTTTTACATAAAAGTTTACCAAACACTATAATACTGTTTTTTTTTTTTCAAAAGCACTTTTACAAAAAAGTTTACCAAACACTCTGCTACTTTATTTCACAGCCGCTTCTTCTCACAGCACAGCAGAATCAGCTTTTTTTCAAAGCACAGCAATACCAAACCAGCCATGCAGCTGGATTCTCACCATTACACCAATGAGATCTCAGCCACACATCTAGCTAGATTCTAGGATTCAAATACATGTCACTAGACATCGACAATTACAATACATGTCACTACACTTGGTAATTTATAACTCAAGTGATTACACAACTAAATACAAGACATTACTACTAATGTAATCAACTCATGGCTTATACACTAACAAATGTTTGTGCTTGAATTCATCCATGAACTACCGGTTGGTGGTATACATCTACATGTTTACTCTAATTCAGCAATTGCTTCTAACTCTAGGAGGTGCCTTTTGGGGATGCCTGCCTGTGATGTTTGTGTAAGACCTGCAGAAACAAAAGGATTAGGAGGCATCCTCAAGTTTTCTCCTCCTCCTTGCATCTGAACAACCGTTTTCATGGAAGGATGATCCACCGGGTACCATTGGATGCACCAGAGCCCTACAATTGCAAGTTGCTTTGGAATCTTACCATCCCCTTCTTCCCCGATATGGATTCGTAGGTCATCTCCTTCCTCTAGAACGTTATAAATCCATTATGGATAGAAATTTCATTGGTCGTGTCCTCTGTGGTTGAACCAATATTCTTCTTTCCTCCTATCATCTCAAGCAGCAGCATTCCAAAACCATAAACATCTGCCTTGTAAGACACATTTCCAAAATTCCTGGAAAACACTTCGGGTGCAATGTAGCCCATGGTCCCCCTCGCTGTAGTCATTGACACTATGCTTTGATCCTTGGAACATAACTTGGTCAGACCAAAATTAGAGATTTTTGGTGTGAAGTTTTGGTCTAGCAAAATATTGTGGGGTTTGATATCGAAATGGAGGATTCGTAGATCACACAAATAATTGCTTTTGCAGCACAAATTGCATTTATATAACACTAAACAAACCTATATTTTTCCTTTTTAATACTTGGTTTGATTACAGAATAACGCTTTTTGCTTGAGCTACAACAAACTCTACATCTTTCTCCATTCTAAAATTGAGGAGAGCTGCAGTCAACCTTTGCCACTCGATTTCACGCTATTTACAATAAAAAAGATTAGATTTGGGCTCAGTTGGAAAGGTAATTCTTAAAAGTTAGGAGGGTAATTTTGTCCGTAAGTTTGGTTGCCCTCCTATACACGTGTTGGCCGACCATGAGATAGGTTGCATTCGATGGGGACGACGGCTGTGTGGAGAGTCGAGGAAGATGAAAGTTGCGTGGAAAGGAAAGCAGATGGTTACCCTACTGACTCCTGTTTGGTTACCCTACTGACTCCTGTTTGCGCTCTCCTCCCTCTCAGTTCCTCTTTCTCCTCTACTGAAACCACAATCTTCCTCTCCTCGGCGCGCTCCCATGTCTCTCGCCATGGAGCCCACAAACTAAGCAAGTAGTGACGGTCACAAGACTCAAACATGGCGGATGCGTACTGGAGGTATAATGACGGCTAGCAACCGCCGCCGTCGGCGATGAATATAGCCGTCGGAAAGCGTCCTCGCTCCGGTTACGGTATGATGGATTCCTTGAATATCCCTTTTTTTTCCTCTTTCATTTTTGCGTTGGTTTGGGGTGGGATCTGGGTTTTCTCTACATTGCTTAAATTTTGCATTTTTTTTTTTCTGGATTTCAATTAAGAAATGGTAAATTTGGGAGTTTCTGATGACTTTGTTCCTTATCAGCTGCCAATACCAGTGACAGAGATGGATCTACGGCCACCACCGCCAACCACGCCGCTGGGAAGATCTTAGATTGAAAACTGGAACTTTGTACGAGGTTTCATGAATATAGGAAGTGTGCTTGCTCACTCTCTGAGTGTTTCGTTGAGGGGTGAACACGGTTATTTTTACTTTATTGTCTTATTGTAATTGTAACTGAGATTTGTGGCTTTATCATTCTTACATTCATTGCTTTTTGTTGATGAATGTAATCTGATTTTGCAGGTCAAGGTTTTTCAACAAGAAAATTAACCTGCAAATTAAATTGAGGTATGAATGAGTTTATCCAACTTTAATTATTTTGGTCTGCGTTTCCTTTTTTTTTTTTTTTTTTTTGAAATTAGATATTTTTTGTAGACATTTTTCCATAAAATTGACTAAATTACTCGTACTTTTACACATGCATCAGCTATGGCTCAATACAAGGTTTCTCTCTCTCTCTCTCTCTCTCTCTCAAAAGATTCAATTTTTGTTTCTTGGTTTTTTTTTTCTCATTGTTTCACTGGTGGGTTTTTGGTTTTTTTTTTTGTTACGTTGGTGGGTTTTTGTTTTTTTAATTGTTACATTGACCGGTTTTTGTTAATTTCTTTGTCCATTTGCAAGAATGTGTAATTTTGTTAATGAGGTGGAGTTGCAATAAGAATTGCATTGCATTTGGTTGCAGTGTGTTTGTTTCCACCGCGTTATCAAAGGCTTTATGATACAAGGTGGAGACATTTCGGCTGGAAATGGCAGTGGGGGAGAGTCAATTTACGGGTTGAAGTTTGAAGATGAAAACTTTGACATAAAGCATGAGAGAAAAGGAATGTTGTCTATGGCTAATAAAGGCCTTGACACCAGTGGCTCTCAGTTTTTCATTACCACCACTTGGACTTCTCATCTGGATGGGAATTGCGTTTGGGAAGGTGATCAAGGGCATGGGTGTGGTTCGCTCAGTTGAGAATGTGAACACGAAGGGCGGAGACTTGCCTATCCAATAGTATGTTTTTTAATCTTTATACAGAAGCAAGACTACAAGATGGCCCTCAGAAAGTATCGCAAGGTTTTGTGGTATGTGGATATATGCTGCGAGCTGGAAGAAATAGATGAAGGTAAACCAGTTGCTTTGCACTACAGAGTGTCCCTTGCTTTCTTTGATCATCTTATGACATTATCTTTGTGATTAAACAGAGATGAGCTCCTCTTTGCGGAAGACAAAAGTCCAAGATATTTACTAATAGCTCAGTAAGAATTTTCATTTATCAAATTTGAAAGCACTGGATGTTAAATGAATTCTCTTGGAAACCCTCTTGAAATGAAAGCAAACTTACTGTCTGGATAAGTAAACCAATTTCAGTTAAGCAGTGTAAATGACAAGTTGTTGAACTATGGTTATTGCAGAAAGTGTACATTTATGAGTGGTAGCGATTGACATCGAAATTGTATGATAGTAACTTAATCATACTTAAATTAAGCCTGTTAGACAAAGTGAAAATTACTGTGGGTTCTGAGTTGCTATGAAGAATCCTTGAGATGAGTGAAACCAAAAAGACAACTATGAATATGGTAATCAGGCCTCGCTTTAATACTTCTCTGAAGGCTAACTTGAATATGTTCATGAGTATTCTGTATTCTTTTGTGGTACATTGATTTAATGTTATCAACTAAAAAGAAATACATTTCCCTTTATCCACGTGATTGATAGGTGAGTTTTCTGTTCAGGCCTGCAGGTTGAAATTAGGAGACCTAGACGGAGCGTTGTTGGACAGACTTTGCATTGCGTGATTGGGAAGCTAATGTGAAGGCCTTGTTTCGCCAAGGCCAGGTAATAATCTTTAATTGGCAAGAATTCATAGAGCCTTCTGGTTGCTGTTTATTACATTTTTTAATTGAAGTAGTTGTGTCCTTTTTTTTTTTGCATGGGATAGAAACTGACTCAAATGTGGGTAAGAACCGTGAATCTCTAATCTTCTTCCTCTTTTCAGTGTCTTTTAATGTAGCTCCCAATTGATCATTTTCTGTGGTTTTTGTTTTCTGGGTTTTTTGGTTGTCTAGAAAATGCCGTAAACGAAGGAAAGTTTGAAGCATTTTTGTTTTATTTTGGGTTGTACGATTAAGTTCTCTGTATTTGTAGAGGATGTGTTTACTTCGTCTAAGCTAAACATTAAGAAGAGATTTAGTTGTTGAATGTTTGAACAACTCTTTATATGTAAATAGCTTTGTCAACAACTACTATATATTATGCAAATACTTATTTTGCATCTACGCACAATGCTTCAACACATTTAGTCCCTTATCCCAACACTAATTGTACTTAAAATTCATTTGCCATTCCCATGGCGAGAGTATAGAATTTGCTTTCCCAGAAAATTGGGGGTAAAACTGGAAGAAGAGTGAGTCAAAGAAGGGTAATGAGAATGAAGAGAAGAACAGAAGCAATGAAGGGGATACTTTACAGCAGCAACAAGGACCCTGTGTGTGTCACGCATGGTCTCTTTGATAAAAGTAAACACATTCGAAGGATAATATGCAGATTAGTTTTTGGTTGTACAAAAAGGTGAGAGAATGACGGTTTGGTCCTTTCACGGTTTCACTTGGTGAACATATGGGTGGGCATGGTTCGATTTCGTCCGGTTTAACATAAAAAACAAAATTCAGACCAAAGAATTTGCATGGATTGATTTGGTTTGGTTTGGTTTGGTCGATTTATGCATGGTACATGTCGCAACACTTGAACTAATCAATACCTATTTAAGAGAGAGAGAGAGAGCGCTCTACTTTATGTAAGACCCATTTTGAACATAAATATTAACTGATTCCACAACAATTGTGAAATGTTTATTAAATTAAACCAAATATATATTCTAAAATATTCAAACTAAACATTCACTCGTCAAAGAGAATTTGCAAATAAAAAGAAACAAAAGCAAAAATATGTTAAATTTTATAATACTTCAAGATGTTAATGCATTAAGATTAAAATCGGTCCTACAATTTTATTGTATCTAAAATTAAACTCAGGCTTTTGATGTCGTTTTTTCCTTGCTAAAAGATTCGGACATTCACTTTGTAGTAGTGGCATGTCGTTCATTAGAGCTGCTTTTCTTTTCATTGGCTGATGAGGAGCCCGTTTCCTTGTTTTCTGTTTTACTACTCTTTGCTTTTTCACTGCTTCTTCCCTTAGGTCCATTGTCAAATGTATACAAGGACACAATTTCAGGAATTTGCCCTGGAATGTTGTAATTCGATTTCGACGCCATTGTTCTAGCAAAAATTTCCACTCCTTGGAATTACAATTGTAATCGACAAACTAATTGCGAAATCCTTAAAGGCGAAAAGACAATGATGTGGTACTGGCTAAAAACCCTCCGATAGTCAAGGTAAACTCGTACAATTGAATTCGACTTAGAGCTCAAAGTATTGCGTGCCTTGTATTGTTCATGAAGGAGGTATTTATACTAGTAAGATGGACTCCTGACTCCTTGTTTAAGTAGGAGTATGTAAACTTACTCGTTTGCACACTATCAACGAGGACATTGAGGAGGAGGAAACAAGATAGATTATTTCCCTTCTTTTTTCATCTGGTTCCATTGATATCTTTCCCTCTAGCAGACAGATTCTCTAGCATAGATATAAAATTAAAATAAATTTCAAATTTACAATTAAGTTTACAAAAGTTGAAATATCGCAAGGTAAATTGTAAGTTAACTGTTTACTTACCAAGAATAAGAGTTAGAACTATTGTGATTCTTTACTGATTTTCGTTAATTAAAACATCGGTATTGAAACTTTTCTTGTTTAGCACATATGGAAACGTAAAAAGTGTGAGTTCCTTGAAAAATTAGGGATGAGATAAACTGTGGAACTAGTTGATCACAATCCCATTCTTTTTTTTTCCTAAAACTTGATTCACGACTTCTCCTATTCCAAGTAAGTAAACATGTCTAATCCTCCTTCTGATTCTCGCTTATATTAAAATAAAAATAAAAAACTGGAAGCATGTTCTTTTCTCCAACTTCTCTCTGTTTTTCTTTTTGTGCTAAAAATTGTTTTACCTTGTGTGTAAAGGAAGCACGACAGGGTACCTGTGCAGTCTAAATGCCAATCTATGTATGTGTGATCCGACCCGTTAAGTATCCACCCAAATGCTAATTTAACGTATTGGTGGGGTTGGGTTAACATGTTGGGTCTAAAATGCCAGGTCTATTATTATGTGTGATAATATATGACAGGATCACACATGGTAGGACACAGTGGAAATCATGTTATAAAACAATTGTATAATTTATTTATTTTTAATAGAATTTTTAATCCATAAAATAAGAAGAATAATATTCCTTGGGCAGTAGCTAGCTGGGAAAGGATCCTTGCCGGATCTTTTCCTAGGGATCATAGGGATCACGTGATCTTATCCGTTCATCGTATATCGTGCGTTCAGAAATCATTTCAGAATTTAAAATTTAAAATTAAATATGAATAGTATCTAACGAAAACTGACCGTACGATTTACGATGAACGGATGAGATCACGGGATCCCTAGGAAAGGGATCCGGCAAGGATCCTTTTCCGTAGCTAGCTAATTACAACATGAAAAGAAGGGGCATAAATAATCTGCTAGCTAGTACAAATTTACGGAGACTATGGAAAGTGTAGTCTAAAACCAGAGCTGTGAATAAGGATCATAGATTAGAAGAGAAGAGATTCAAATTAAAGTTGCAACCCAACATTCCATTTATTGGTGAGAGATACTGCTATCAAATTCGATAACTGATATCGCTGGTCCACGGCCTGTTATGGAATTAAGAGATTCTGTTCAGATACGCATGAAATCTAATGATATTGTTGGAGCAAATCAACTTCTCAATCCATGGAATATAACAGCCAATGCAAACATATAGCCAAATCAAACTTCATTGTTATGATTAATCTGAACGTGTACGAAAAATCGATGAAGTAATGTTGCAAACTAAAATAAAATAAAAGATAGTAGAAGATGCAAAGGACTGGTTGGTGGTGCATGCTTACTCAAAGTTGAGGACACAAAGCAGAAAACCACTCGTTTTTTGCTGTTCTAAAAAAGCAACTCCAAACATTCTGTGAGTTTATTATAAGGTTATGCATTTCCTCAACAACAGTCCTGTGCAAGGTAGTGATGAAAAACAAAGCTGAGGAACGGTAGACCTAAACCTCGAATCGTAAAGAGTGAAACATTAGTATTTATATAATGATAGTTGATCTCGAGGTGCTTTGCTCTTGCGTGAAAAATAGGATTGGCACCAAGAGCAAGAGCACTTAGATTGTCAAATAAGAGCAGCGGTGGATTATGGAGATAGAAGTGAAGGTCATTGAGGAGGTAGCAAATCCATGATACTTCAGCAGCTGTTTGGGCTAGAAAATGGTATTCACTTTCGGTTGAAGACCGAGCAACAATTGGTTGCTTCTTCAAACTCCATGAAATAAGATTGTTTCCAAAGAATATGCAAAACCCAAATGTAGAAAGACTATCAATGGGACAACCAGCCTAGTTGGCATTCGAAAAAGCAGTGATATTTGGAGAGCCTTTGGTGAGAAGAAGTCCATGATCTGGAGTCCCCTTAAGATAACGGAGATCCGCTTGAGGGCTGTGAAATGAGTTGTTCTGGGATTTGAAGATGTTGACAAACTTGATTAATGAAAAAGGTGATGTCAGGCCTTGTCCATGTAAGGTGTTGCAAAACACCATCCAATGATGTACATGATAGGGCCTTGAAGGAGCAAGTTTAGAAGCAGATGAAGGCGATGCACATGGTTTGGAATCTAACATGTTGGCTTTTGTTAGGAGGTCCTGGACATACTTGGCTTGAACTAAGAAGAGCGTGTCCGCTGTTCGATGAGTTTGAATACGAAGAAAAAAGTGCAACGGATCAAGATTCTTCATAGCAAACTGAGTATTGAGCTTGTTGATAAAAAATTCACAATGAGAAGAAGAGTTAGCTGTAATCAGAATACCATCAGCATAAACAAGTATAAAAGTAAGTGAGTGAGTGATCAACCTTGACAAAGAGTGAAGGAATTGCTATAGAGGACGGAATCCGAGAGCTACAAGACTACGATAGAGCTCCTCGTACCAAGCTCGCGTCGCTGTTTGAGACCATATATAGACTCGTGAAGCTTGCACACAAATGAGGTCTGAGAGGATCTATAATCTTTGAGGTTGAGCTACATACAAATCTTCATGAAGTGTACCATGAAGGAAGGCATTGGAGACATCCAATTGAGTAATCAACCAATTGAACTGGGGAGCTAGAGATAAAATGAGTCAGATAGTTGCTGATTTAGCGATCAGACTGAATGTTTCATGGTAGTCAATACCATGTTGTTGAAGAAACCCTTTACCAACAAGTCGTGCTTTATATCGATCCAAACTGCCAGTATTGAACTTGATACATCCATTTAGATCCAGTAATGTTGTGAGAATGAGGTGGCAGAACAAGTGTCCAGGTGTGTGTATTCTTTCTCCAATGACTAATCAAGGAATTTTACTAGAAATAGTTTCAATAACTAGGAGCGTACGAGAAATTAAACGTAACAGAAAATTCCAAAAAAATTGCGAGAGTCTTCTTCTAGTATTTGAATCAAGCTCTCAATGAAACCAACAATTTGTGGTAGTGAAAATCCGCCGTCTTCAGTCTTGACGAATTTGTATCGACAAAACAATCAACACTTTTGATCAAAGACCAAAACCTCACGCTTCACGAGGTTGGGGGGTTTGGCTAGTAGATCTCCGATGCCTAAGTCAGTTTCTCTAAAAATAGTAAGTGTTTAGGACTTGTACGCTTAACAAAAAGCTTACTAAAATTTTTATCTAAAAGTTGAAGATGGTCTAACAGTAGTGTTTTTATTTTTTTTTTCATTTTTTTTGTTTTTTTTTGTTTTTGTTTTTGTTTTTTTGTTTACCAAAAATAAAGCTATTCTTCCCGACTGATGCCTAAGAAACCTCATGGGATCTCGTGATTTCACGAACGAACCAGGATCCTCGCCGGATCCATTCCCTAGGGATCTTAGGGATCACGCAATCGTGTCTGTCATCATATATCATGCGGTCAGAAATCATTTAAAATTTAAAATTTAAAATTCAAATATAAATAGTAGCTAACGAAAACTGACCGCCCGATATACGATAAACGGACAGGATTGCGTGATCCCTAGGATCCCTAGGGAATGCATCCGGCGAGGATCCTGGTTGAAGAACTACCAGCTTCTCGAAATTTCACAAACCCCTACCATTTCCGCTGACTTCTCTAAGCTAAATCAAGCGTGCTGCTTCATCCAAGAACACGAAGTTGCTGACTTTTGTAATCGGAATCACCGACGATTCCTGTGATGTCTGGCCTCGATGTTGGTCTCAAATGACTCATCATCATCCGAGATACTTCTAGGCCCATTGCATGTGAAGATCTTATTCAAATTTGTGATTTAATACGATTGAATTTTAGTAAAATTTTCATGATTTTGTAAAAAAAAAAAATCGTTTAAATTTCTGAGCTTTGGAGGGTTCTTCATTAAACTTATGGAGCTTTTTGGCGTTTTTATTTGAGATTTAGTATTTTTCTTTCTAGATTTTGTAGAATACTTGGATTAAATTTGGGAGTTTGGTAGTGGTGTTTTTTTCTGTGCATTTTTGGTGAACTTGGTTGTAGGTTTTGATGTTTGTCTGCAGCAGGGAAAGGGACGAAAATCATTCACGCCCTCCAACAGTTCCAGACTCTGATTGTGCACCGCCAACTCGCGAACCAAGTGCTATTTCAGCACCTGCAGGAGATGAACGAAGCGAGATGGTATAGTTTTCTGTAATTTTTACTATTGCTGTGTGTAAATGACCACATCGAAATGTCTTTGATCTCCTTACAAATTCAGTTTCCTGACTTATTTTCCTTTTTTCAATTTGAATGCAACTTTGTCCAATCGTATTTTCTTATATGGTTAGCTTCAGAAACCACTACTCCACAATTCTAGAAGTTTAAAATTGCCATCTGCATCGAATATATGTAATTTAGTTGTGATGCGGAAGCTTGAGAGGTCATCTAGAAATGCAGCACTATCTAATTTAGTTGATTCAATCAAAGCATAAAAGCAAACAACTCACATACAGAAATTGTATCAAGCAACCGGTTATTTAATCAAAAGTTAAACACAGCAAAATGTTAACCCAAAACCCTCTCTTATATGGCTACATTGATGTCAACAAGCTTTTAGTTTGTTAGTCTTCACCGGTTCGGTGGCATCTCTGTAATGGTCTTCCTTATGAACCCGGTCTTCTCTCCAGAGGGTCTGCTAAGTCCGAATATTTCTACCTCTATTTATATATATACATGTATGGATAGTTGCTTCGATGTTCACTTGGTGTACATATTTTACACACAAAGCACTTTTGAAAGTTTACTGTTATTGATGTGAGTTAGTTTGTTGTTTTTAACCATTAATCGAATTTGTGGACCCTAATTTCTACGAGAGTATCTCATTATCATGGAAAAAAAAAAATACAATAAATCATAAAATTAAAGAGGAGGGCTTAATCATGACTATATTTGATAATTAATTCATAACTCTTTAATTTACATGAACAACCTTTACATTTCTGCTAAATATTAATTGGTGTTGGACGTCTTATTACACATAACACGCGATATTCTTTTTGTTTGCTAAAAAGAAAGTGATTCATTATGTATGCATGGTGTGTGTGAGTTACTATACCTGCTGCTTGATGTGGAATTTTGCTTTTTTTTTTTATATTTTTTTTAGCAATAACACATACGATCTTGGATTCTATTTCAATGAAAGCAGATCAAGTTTCAGAGTGAAAATTTTCATTGATTTTGTAGTTTTATTAGTGTGAATTATCCAGCACCACCACCATGATGTCTTTGCTAATGAGTAGTCTACAGGGTCCTTTGGTCCGAAAGAGTTTCAGCAGCTAGGCAGTTGCAACACACGTTAAGTACTTCCATGTGCCTCCTTATGCTGGGATTTTGTTAGACAGGTATGTATTTTATCTTCATATACTTCATAGTTTATTAGTTTTGATATATAATCAACTAGAAACGCATTCAGTTGAGTGAATTCTGCATTGTGACATACATGACATTGGGAGTATTGCTCTGTTTGTGATTAAGGATGGTTATGTTTTCTCATATTTACATTAATACTGTGAAATGTTGAGTAAAAATCAATTTAGGGAACTATATACTGCTAGAGATGTGCATATTAATCCCGCCTAATGTAAAATTTAGACATCTGGCATAGTGAAGATCCAATAGAGAATATGAGAAACCCAACTTAATTTTATGAATTTGTTTTGGTGCCTACAAATGAAATCTGGCATAGTGAAAGTTTGTGTACCGAAATTATGACAAATTTTCCTTCATCTTTAGATTTTCATTCAATTCAATTCATATGCAATTTAGTGTGATTCAATTCGTAAGTGATCAAATGCTGTTTTTAATTTCCTTCTTCTTTTGATTTTCAGTTCAACATTGTCGTACAAAACGAAGGAGACGTCATTAACGGAGTTACAGATTTGGGTGTCTTTAGTGAAACAAAACCGGATTGTTTTAACTTTGTATAGTTGTAAACATAAAACAATCTCTGGGATAGAGCCATAGCTTTTGAAAGACAATCCTTAAGGATGGCATACCAACATTCCCAATTTTTTCCATGTAACATATGAACGTAAATAGCACTTCCATAACACATGGATGTAATATATGTATAAATACCACTCTGTGGCACATATATTTTTCAAGACATCTACATATTCAGTAATGTTTTCAAACTCCACAGCAACGCACAGGTACTCATTTTATGCAAATCTGTTGTATCAACTTCATTGCTCAAATTAAGAATAAGTTCTCAAATTAAGAATAAGTTGAGAACGTGGCTTTTAAGAAACGAAAATGATAAAACACATACTATGTTTTTTTCCTCTTATACACCTATCTTTAATCATGTTCATTGTTTTTATTGATTTATTCAACTCATTGTTTAGAAATAAAGAAGGATGTGTGATAGGCTAATTAAAAAAGGTCTGTGAAGTTCAGTTTCCTTCAGAAACCAAGAGAAATGTAAGAAAGCGAGACACTTTACAGTTTCATCACGTGCTCTATTAAAAAAGGAACGAAAAAAATGGCATTTTAACCAAAATGATTTTGAGATTTGAATGACGTATCATTTTAGTTTTGAGATTTAAAATCACTATAAATAGTTGAGATTGTCTACCATTTATTATTTTGGTTTAAAAAACTTTGTTAAGTTGTGAGTATTTTTATCAAATCAAATTCTCCACTTGCTTTTTCACCTTTTCTCTCATTTTCCTAAAAAAAAAAAGAAAAATACTCATATGTTGTTGATTTTGGCAGTGAAATCAAATCTTCATCCATTATTAAAAACAATTTGGCGCCAAATTCAAGTAAATCATCACAAACGGTCCTGACTTTTTCCCTTCCGTTAATTTTTGGAAGGAAACTGTACATTTTGCACTTTTGAATATAAATGAAATGGATGGTTCAAAGTATGATATATACAGACAAGGCTAAATCAATAGAATTACCAAAAAGAGATACCATGTTCCATTACATGAGATTTTCAACATGATCAGCATTATAACTTGCAAAATATTCAAATGTTCAACATCAAAAAACAATATCCACATGTTTAAAAACAAGATCAAACTCTAAATGTTCAACTACAAAATCAATGTTCAACTGTTCTAATTCACAAAAAACAAGAAAGAGATGGTTGTAGCTTGTTTTCTTCCATTTGTGCAGTGACATCCAAACTACAAACTCCCTCCATACTCAAGGCTTCCAAGACTTGTCTCTCTTTGCGGGTGATTTGTATCTTTTGCTAGTAGACTGTGATTGTG